CTAGCATGCTAGCGTGCAAAAAGAAAAATCGATAGCTGTATTCGTCACAAGTGGAAAAAATTTAAATCTGCATAGAACTTTACTCCAATTGGCTCATTCACTTGCTCAAACACAACGTTGATTCTGATTCCGCAGAACTGGGTTGGATGTTAAAAAGTATTTGTTGTTAACATTCTTTTTTCATTCGGTTTTTCCAGTTACGAGTCCTTTTTTAAAGCTAATCGTTTTGTGTTCATTTTGTTTTTTTCTGTTTTCGTAACAGATTTAATGTTTAGTATAGAGCTTAGAAAAAATTCGCAGTGTGAGATAGGCAGGAAGTAAGGCATGTAGCAACATCAGCACGGCAAAGGGCAATCCTTTAAAGGGAAGGAAGGGCAAAAATATTTTAAGTCAAGTGATAGCGTTTGCTGTATGAATCGTACGATTTTTGAATCAAGTACGGGCAACGCCGGGCCATGCTGCTAGTTATGGATAAAACATAGTGAATTCTATATAGTGCTTTTCGAGACTTAGCATGAAGAAAACAAATTCACAGATTTCAGCAAAAAGGACCCCCGAATGACGTCAAAATTCGCAAAAACTTTTCATCCTTTAATAGTCAGTTGTATTTAGTTTAATTTGTAACGTATATAAGTGTAAGTAGGAAAAAAAAACAAATGTTGATAAAATAGCGAGGTTCATAAAGTACTGCTTGGGATCCCCAATCAAAGTTGCCCACTCCCCGATCGGGGGTTTGGGGATAGTGCGCACCGGCCCTGACTGCTGAACACTTGTGGCAAATTTCTGTTTCTGAAATCTGTGTGGAACAGGACAAATCATCAGTGCCGAGCGTTAAATGGTTCTATTTACATTATTTTAATCAATTCCTCTCACTCAAGACAATAATGTCACTAAGGCGCAAGGGACTACTGCGAATGAAAGAGAATGAGAAGACTTTAGAAGGAACCGGAAACCCAATCCTAACTAGCAAACAAGGGATAGACCTCTACACTTTTTCAAAAGACAGGGGAGTAGTCTGAACCTGGCGAGAGGGAAAACGGTATTCTTTTTTCTATGTCCCGTATCCCTTCAGGATGTGTAGTTCTTAGTAAAGTTTTTCTTTTCAACATCCCTCCCAATCCCTGTTCTCTCATCCATTTGTACAAGCGTGTTAGGTAGGTTACGCGCTGATTCCTTCTGCCTCTCTTGCATTCACTATGTCTTGTGAGTGTCAAATTCTGCAGGCCTTCTTTCCTCATTATGCGTCCGATAAACTTCAACCGTTCCTTTTTGATTCTAAGTATAAATGTCCTTTTCGTTTCTATTTTCCTTAAAACTTCTTTGCTGCTCACATGTTCCGTCCATGGTATTCTTAGCATTCTTCCGTAGAACCACATCTCAAGTCAATTGTTTAGCATTCATTGCCCTGCAGATTGATTGGTTAAACATAGCAGTTCAGCATTCATTTTTTGCTTTGTTTTATTTACATATAACGCTGTGTAATTATTTCACCAGTCATTCGTTTTACTAAGATAACGATGGCAATATCTACATCTGATAAATTTGATCGCCAAGACAAAAACGTTTTAAATTATTCTCAGAAATATGCAAAAAAGAAAAAATGACAATAGATTTACCCGATTCCTTAGGCACTGAGTATTATGTTTCAAGCTGTTTAACGCTTATCGGCGCGAAAAGTGAAATCAGCGAAATGAGTTCAAATTCCAACCTAGTCTGTTGCGTTTATTTTTACACAAATTTTCTTGAAAAAGGTATTATTCAACCTATTACACCTCAAGCTATGGGTTAAATAGCAGGATAGGCTTGTTTAGTCTTCGGTGGCAATCAGTCTAAGAGAAGGAAAGCTCTGGATTCCAAACTCTGAAGAAACGAAGAAAAAAGCATTTCACTATCTTTCACAAAAATTTATGGCAGTTCACACATATTTTAAAAAAATAGCTATGATCACGTACGTCCTGAAAGAGAAAACAAAAAAAAAAAAAACGACTATAAAAGTTGAGGTAAATACGCTTCCCAGTTTTTTCAGAAGTACGATGATCAGATGTCAGTGAGTTGTAATGGTAAACAAACAATATTAAGTCAAACATTCAAACTATCTTGACACTAAAAAAAAAACATATGATGGAAAGGGACTGTAAAGTTGTTAACTTTTAGAATCCTATTCTTGATCGTGCCTGTTAGCATTTAAGAGCAGAGGGGTAAACCCCGCCGAAAGAGGCTACCTACCAAGTAAAGTATTCCAGATTCAAATATAGTGATTTTCCAAGCGTAGCTTAGATGTGGCACAAGGCCGAAATTAGGGGACACCCAGTGAGGAACGAACTCACTACTCAGTCGTAATTGTTCTAGCGAGCCAAGCTTACTAACCATTACACCGACTCGAGGTGCACCATCCAGATTCAAATATAAACGACCAATAGTTACCTAATACCGAACCAAGTAAATACATATTTAGATATATAAAAGATAAATATTTGCCTATTCCTGAATCAAGTAAGTGATTATGAACTCAAGTATAAACGACTAGTATTTCCCTGTAGTCTCAAGTATAAATGACCAATAGGTCACCTGTCGACTCAAGTACAAACCACCAGTATAATAATAATGATAATAAATCATAAATCGTCAAAATGCACTGGATTACCTGAACTGAATATATATCCTACCGGGCCCCACCTGCAAGGTTATGTGCGGCTTTTATCAACCTGTCACCATGACTCTGTTGCGAGTGCTTGGTTTACTCTCAATGACTGTTAGGTGTCATGATGAGCACGAGGTCCGTTAAAAAGTATCGGGACATGCTATAAAAAGAAAACTACAAGACATATCAATTTGGCATTTAATCTCCTTCGAAATAGTCCTCTGGACAATGTTAAGCTTGGCTAAAAAAAAAAAAAACTTCTGCTCAACCCAAGTGTGCTAACCTGATAGAACTACTGTGGTGTGGTGAGACGACCACGCTCTACACACTTTCCTTCTAAGTACTGCTATAAACAAGGAAAGTTAGCAAGAACGTTATAACTTAGTGTGTATGCGCAGCGGACTTCAAGGTCAATCTGTGCCAAGCAGCTTCACTCTTAGCACTTTAGCTCCGTTACCACAGCAACAGTACGGATACTTTATGATCAGAAAGATGTTTCAAACTTCAATGACTCCTTTGAAATAATTTGCAGAAAGCGCACATGAAGAAACTTTTAGGGTCCCTCTGCCCAGGCACGGTGAAGTAATGGATAGCGACTCGGATTGAGTAATCAGAGAGCCGAGTTCGAATTCCAGTCGAATCGAATCCATTACATTCACTTACGTACTAAATACCCTTGGGAAAGGTATGAATCCTCCTAAAGCTATGGGTAAATAGCTTGACAGGTCTTGGATGGAAACTAGTCTACCGCAGAAAGAAATGGAAACCTAGTGCGGGAAAAATCTGCTTCGTCAGTCATGTATCTTTCGATACATGACTGACGAAGCAGAGTGTATCACGCATGGCACATGACTGCTCAGATTTCAGGTGAAAATATAAAATCCGAGTGTGCTGCCCTCAGATACAACACAAAATTATAAACAACCCTAAGAAATGATCTTCGCAGAAAAATATAACAATAATATTAATACAGACAGGTACATATAATTACAAAATCAATGTTGTTTGTGGTCATAAAGCGACCGATTGCTCGAAATGGTTTATCGCAAGTGAGTCTGAAAAGTTCGAAATGATTTTGTTGCGAGTCTCCGAAATTCGAAATGATTTTGTTGCAAGTGAGTCTTCAAAATTCGAAATGATTTTGTTGCAAGTAAGTCTTCAAATTTCGAAATGTTTTGTTGCAAATGAGTCTGCAAATTTCGAAATGATTTTGTTGCGTGTCTGTAAAGTTCGAAATGATTTTGTTGCAAGAGTGTTTGCATAGTTCGAAACGATTTTGTTGCAAGTGAGTCTCCAAAGTTCGAAATGATTTTGTTGCAAGTGAGTCTGCAAATTTCGAAATGATTTTGTTGCAAGCGATTCTGCAAACTTCGAAATGATTTTGTTTAAAGTCAGTCTGCGTCTCTTACTTGTTTGTGTTTCACTTATTGACCATGCCATATAGGGGTTTATATCCTATAAACTAACCACTGATGATTGTGACCGCATTTGAATTGGATAAAACATTTTTCCTGTTTTTCTCACTACATCATAATATAAGCGTTTAAATAATAGTACATTTTATAAAATTCGTATAACACTCATGATTACTGGTTCGGAAGACTGAGGAAAACTCTGGAAAGCAAACGGTTGAGAGAAGAAGGGTTTAATCGCACAGGAACATGGACTGAGAATAAAATAATTCAGTACGATAAGCGTACGACTGAAAAGAGATCCGCCTTTTCGATCCACTTTTTACCACTGTGCCATGAGCAGACGTTCTACTCATAGCGGATGAATGAGTCCACGTTTTAATGATAGGTTTAGAGAAGTTTAGTCAGTCTTTCTACACAATAATATATAGTGATTTTCCAAACGTAGCTTAGATATGGCACAAGTCCGAAAGTATGGGGCACTCAGCGAGGATCGAACTCACTATTCAGTCTTAATTGATTTAGCGAGACAAGCTTGCTAACCATTACACCGCCTCAAGGTGCCCCTGCACAATAATATATATGTGGTATCCGACGGTCTCATCGATATCTGCTTCCAAAGAGTTGCTGATGGCAGCGCAGCATCTGTTATGGATGTACAGGTTCACATAGGAGTGACTGTCTCGATTACAACGAATGCATATATACAACAATATACAAGACGAGAAACAGCAATGAAGATAAGGTTGTGAAAGATTTAAAGTCCTAAATAGAATCGGCCAGAAATATAAATGAAAACAATGAAAATACACCCTTTTCACTGAAAGTAAGTAGAATAAGATGACATTTCCGAAAGATTATTTAGTTTGTGAAAACATTTTCCCTTAAAAGCTTCCGTTACTTTTATTAACTTGCCTGTGATTTGTTTCATTTTTTTTTTCAATCAGAAATTGGAGGTCATTGGATTGGCGCTGAAATGTTCAGTCATAGATGGTACTGGGTGCGGGGCTGTGATGCACTAGATCCTATCGTCAACCCCCCTTGGCGCTATAATCATTCGGTCAACTACTCACGTGCTATCATTTGGGGAGACAAGTGGTCAGGGAAATTTCCAGGTCAATATTGCCGATTTGTCTGCGAAGAAGAACCCTTCAAAGAAGGTAAGGTTTCTAGTTTGGTTTGTTTTTTTCTATGCCGACACACATTTAGCAGAATAAACATACAGATATACACACTTACATAAACAGAGAAATGATAAAAGATTTACATGTCTCTAGAATAATTTCTATTCTGGCGAATACCCCATAGAGAGATTGAGCTATAGTAGTGACATTCTTCATAACCAGTTTAATGCACCTATTTACTACAGTGTGAAAATGCACATTTTCTTAATCATATCACACCAAGCAAAGCGATAATGCCACTAAGGCGGATGGGATTACTGGGTGTGAAAACCATTGAGAAAACTTTAGCGAGAAGTGAGGAGAAAGGACAATATAAGAACCGGTTACAAGAAAAAATTGTGTTGAAGTACTATTTGTTTGCGCTTTCTCCGACATTTTTTTAAAATCATTTCACCCAAAACTAGGTGAGTATGCCAGTAAGGCGCAAAGAGGTAGAAAGGGAATGATAAGACTTTAGTAGGTAGAAAGGGCAATAAAAGAACATAAATTAAGATAGAATACACCGATTGACATTGCATTTAGATTTTTGAAGATTGTAGGTGGTGGAATTCAAGAATCTGTAAGAGAGTTCCACAGGCGAGAAGTGCGAGAAAAGTAACTATTAGAATAGAACTTACGGTTACATCTAGCTATTTCAACATTAAAACAATGAAAGCTAGTTGCCAACCTCGTAGCACGCTTAAATTCACGCGGTCGAGGTACTAAGGAAAGCTTATCAGAATAATTACCATAAAGTTTATAGAAAAAAAAGCGGGAAATCATATCACGTCGTTGGGAAACGCGGGCTGGGTGCAGGGAAAATTAAGAACGGTAAAACAAAATTGGTGGTGGGAGAAAACATGACTTGAAATCCTCGTATCACAAGGTACGTGCAGTTTATGGTCCTCTCCATTCTGCTTATGACCCTTTGCGGTCAAGGAACTTGGCTGAATTTCGGTGAACGCCTGATAAGATGAAGGCTCGACAGCGAAAACATTTCAAATGACGATTGAATCACATTTTGCATGTTAGTCCTGATGTGCTTCTGATTCAACATATTTCTCTCATTAATGAGATTGATTTGCCTCCCACACATGCAGAGATAACGGTTGTTGTAAAACAGACGAAGACTGGAAATGTGTCAAGAGACGGCGTTTTCAGCATGTGTGGTTAGAAAATACAACCTCCCTCAAGGTTATAAATCTCACATCTTTCCGCGAACAGCTACTTTGTGGAACTGACTCACAAGAAGCTGCTTTCCTGAGCACTACAATCTTAACCTCTTCAAGTCTAGGGTTAGCCGTTATTTCCTACGTAACTTCTTCATAAACTATGCTTCTTATTCTTACTGCTCATACTACAACCTCCTTAAGAAAACGTCTTCCTCGAGTCTTCCTTGGGCCTTGTATAGGGTGAAAAAAGGGGATCCAAAGATATCTCTGATAACTACCTTGGGATCTTTCAGTTATTAGCTGTTGATAAAGTTTTTATAAGAGGACTTCGCAACCAAACATCCTACCTGAATCGCAGTGCAGTTTCCGTAAATGTGTTAGGCGGACCTAGTTTTTACAACTTGACAAATCCAAGAGATGTTTAATTATAATTACAGCAATTCGTCGTTATGTGTTTTCTTAATTTTTTTTTATTCTCTAGTTCACAGACATTTTTATAAATTAATCAATAAAAAAATGTCCATAATTATTTCTAAAAGTAGCTTTTTAAAATAATAAAAATTGCTGAGGAAGTTTCCAGTAACGATGGAGTCACGAGAAAATCTGTCCTTTTGACACGCCGTTTTGGGGGTTTGTTTTTAATTCATGGGGACGTTAGCAAAACTTTGCATTTTTATATTTTGTCATTGAGTTAGAGAGTTTTGAACATGAAAAGCGCCGAGAGCTTTTCATCAATCAAACGTGATCCTTCAGTTCAGAAAACCTTTTTGAACATTAACAAAAATTGTTTGCAATCTTCATGAATATTGACAGAAAATATACGTATTTATACAATATTGTACCTTAGATGAATCAAATCCGTCAGAATCATATTTAACGAGAAACTTATAGTATTATTGTTTTTTTTTTTTTCAGTTAATCTAACAAAAGAAATTAAGAAATCATGATGAGTAATTAATTAAGTAATTTAATCTTAATTATTTGATTTTTTCGCCAGAAATTTGCGATGGATTCCGCAGTTTCGAAAGAGTCAACGAATGGTCATCAGATGCGTTCTTTCGCAGTTTTAACACGCTTCACGAAGTTGATTGTGGCCGGTTGTGCCTCGCTGACCCCAGTTGCAAAGGTTTCCGCTTCCGAAAAAGTGGTCATCATAAGTGCGCCCTCTACAATCGGAGCAACACGACAACGAAAACAAAAACTAGATGCGATGCTCCGAGAGAAGTCTGCTACAGAAGAATTGAACGTTGTTTTTCCTAAAACTCTGCAAAATGCCATTCATTCATTCATTTTATATTCCTATTTACTTTACCTTTACAATTATTTTTTTTCAACAATGTTTGTTCTACATTTTATGCAGTATAAAGTTATCTAAATCAACGACAGCCTTAACGTATCTACTCCGGAGAATGTGAAACACTGTGGACTTGTTTTTTTATACTACAGTTACTCTCGCTCTCTCTCTCTCTCTCTCTCTCTCTCTCTCTCTCTCTCTCTATATATATATATATATATATATATATATATATATATATATATATATATATTTATGCTCTACTTTTGTATCGAGCACTATTTTTAAAAAATAATAACTAAAATACTAAGGGACTTTGGATTATTTACCTAACCAGTTCCTATTTATATATATATATATATTATATATTATATATATATATATATATATATATATATATATATATATATAAATGTAAATGTTTTGAATACTGTTTATTATAAACAGAACATTTACTTAAATATTTGTATTATATATATATATATATATATGTGTGTGTGTGTGTGTGTGTGTGTGTGCCTCTCTCTTTCTCTCTTCTATGGCTTACGGCCACATCACATTGCACTGAAACACCGGTTCGTATATGATCACCAGTTTAACCACAATAAGTTTGGTCAGTACCTAGATGGGTGACCGCTTGGAAATACCAGGTGTTGTAAGCTTGGATGTGCGGGTGGTGTAATGGATAAATGTGAATTGGTAAATGGAGAGCTGAGTTCCAATTCCAGTTGGGTTCGTTATATTCACTTACACGCAAATATCGTAGGGAAAAGCATGAATCCACCTCTTCTCCACCAGCTATGGGTTAATTAATATGACTTTAAACATTATCATTACCACCCCAGACCAAAAAAAATCTTACAAACTAAAAATATTTTCTGGCTTTAAATAACCTGAAAAGGTTTGATAAGCCGTAGAAAATGAATCTCTGTCTGTGTGTGTGTGTCTCTCTCTCTCTCTCTCTCGCTCTCGGTCACCAGAGTGTTTTGAGTTGGTTGGCGGGTGAATTTAGAGGGGTATCATGAGTATAACTTTGCATACTAAAATTTTTTCACATCATTTTCACAAGTGGAGCAAAGGATTTTCTTTGGAGCAGGCACACCAGCTGTGACGAACCTATACCCCCCTCCATCTCCCTCTCACCCACTCTCTCTCGCTCTCTTTCGAAAGCAATATTTTGATTAATGAGAAGTGTTTAAATTCCTACTGTGTGCAATTATAGCTTATTTTAATATTTTACTGTCGACAATTTAATTTAAAAAAACCTTGATTTTTAGAATAATTCTCCTTTTGCTTATTAAACTTTAATCTTCGAATATAATTTGTGTGTGTGTTTGTGTGTGTCTGTAATGCTAGACCAAATATTGAATAGAATAAGCACATATGACGCCAAAAGAAAAGGTGTTATCCCAGGTTTTTATTTTCTTACGGTATTATGGCATTTGTAATACAAATCTTACGAACTAATGTAAAAATTCATAAAAAAAATTATACAAGATTATACATTCTTATACAAGAATGATTATGCTTTGTTCGTTAACTATATTTGCAGGGAATATAAATGAAGAAAACTGTTTCATATTTATTTTTTAAACACTTTCACTACTTAATTGTTATATCATTGTTGCATGACTATAATCGTGACGGTGATTTCTCATGGGCTCCGCCATTTTGATTTCGATCATGTCTACTGCAGTACAGACTCAGCTAAATGACACACCAACATAGTATAAAATAAAATTACATTTCACATCAGGTCATATTGTATGCTACAATATATCTATACTACTAAGCACTAGTTAATTTATAGCAAAAATACTAAAGAATGAAATTTCCTGGTGCCCTGAAAACGAATATATACACTGACAGCTGAAGTTGTAAGTTTCGAAAAGACTTATAAGTACATGCACACCAGCGGAAATATCAAATTACAAAGAACTCAATAGAAAATTACTCGATACATGTTCAAGAATTTCCAGAACGTCCAAAATTCTTTAAGCTCATTCCTTTGTCTCTCCGGCCATCTCCCAGTGCTTTGCAGTATCAAGGAAATGCTTCTTTTTTTAATATCTGATGTGACTGTTTCTTTTTTAATATATTTTTTAAATTTTTATGTGACAGTGTGAAGCAATGAATACTTTGCTGAATTTCCCGTTAGTTAATTAAATTAAATCAGAGTACAACATAAAGTGGTAGACATTTTATCTACATAAATATATTGTATCAGTAAATTTAAAGCAGCAACCCTAATTAGTAAATTACTATCAGTGGAAACCCGAGATCGGCATTGTTTTGCGTGTGCGCTTGCGTTATCACTTAGGAGTGTTATATATATATATATATATATATATATATATATATATATATATATATATATATATATATATAGGGATCTCTCTCTTTCTCTCTATCTCTTTTCGAAGGGGAATAACTATTACATGCTCGGCTAACTCCCTTTGACTGTTTCTTAAATTCCGTAATCTTTCGCTGAAAATAACCTTTTCAGTATTTTAAAACATTAGCGGGGTCTAAAAATTAGTCTGGAACATTTTAGCTTCTTTTTTAGGTGAAAAACATTGATTTCGAAATTTTTGCAAAAATAAAATAGTTGTCGGATTTTAATGAAATTTTCATGACTTATTTACAAGTGAATAAAATTATGTTAGAAACTTTCTTTTTTAGAAAATCTTGGTAAGAACATTTTTTTACATTTGTTACCTCCTACCCACTTATTTAATTTTATGAGATTTCGAGAAATTCACTTCTGGTCCGCTTAATGTTCATATTAGTCATAGGCAGGACTCCTTGGAGAATTTAAATTTCATTTTTTTTTTTTTACCAGTTACTGAAAATTTGCTCTGAATTGTAAAATAAAAAATGCAATAAAACTAAACATTATTTAATTAGAAAAGCTTTTAATTGCTTTTATGAATAAGATATATGAAAGACAATACTGTCTTAAGAAAATTATTTTTCGACGAATAATAAATTTTTCCAAAAATTGTTTTCATTTTTTTAAAATTTTATTTAGAATAATTTAGAAAGTTTTAAATCTTTTAAATTTCTGTATTCATTTGTACCAGTTAGTTGATATTGTTATTAAGTAAAAACTATATTTACTAATCATAAATGGAAAAGCTTAATATAATTCAATGACTCCCCATATTTTAAAAAGAATTTTGAATAGTTTTGTGTGTGTATAAATGTGCCGAGTTTTGTAAATACGGATGTCCATACACAACATTATCAGAAAATAAGGACGATAACTATAGTAAAATTAAAGCCAAAGTACCTAAAATTCAATAAAACATTAGATTACGGAGAATATTTTCTAAATTTTTAAAGATTACTACGTAGGTAAAAATTATATAAATAGGCATTCACTTTATATTTCTCAAGTGATTTTTACAGAGATGTCCATCGTAGAAAAAATTAGATAAACTTCCGTCTATCAGTCAAGATGTTAACCTGTCAGCACCTTAAATAAACACCTATCTCTGTGTTAAAAAATGCATTTCTGCTATATTTTAAACTAAAAATAATATTTGTTTCAAATCCGATTAATTAAACTTTAAATCAGATAATATTACTCAAATAAAGTTTCAAAAAAGTATATTTAATTTATGCAAGATTTTTAATAAAAGCAATCACATTGTGATGATAGATGGGTAAAAATTGCGTTAAAATTAATGATTTTTAGCGATTTCAAAACAAAAAACTTTCGTCAATTTAAATTAGTTTTGAAATAAGAGTATTTTGCTTATTGTAATATTAAATTTAGTCTATTAGATTGAAATTAAAACTAAAATAAAAGCTTCGAGGGACATTTTTTGAAAAATTCATTTTAAACCTCAGGTATTGCTTTTCTGTGGAGGTCCCTAGTATGAATGCAAATCATTATTTAAAGAAGAGGGTACAAATGAAAATATTTTAAATTGACATGTTTTCTATTTCACTGAAGCAGGCATTAAACACCTCTATTTTCCTTTCTTTCTTTCTTTCTTTCTTTTTCTCACTGAAACTAAAAAGTGTCTCTGGTGTCTTTTTCGTCTTCTCTCGCAATCAAAACGGAATAGTCCATTATTTAAGGATTATTGGCAGGACGTAATGCACGTGATAACTAAGGAAAGAAGGTACATCTATCTATCTATCGATCTATCTATCTATCTATCTATCTATTAAAGTTAGGATCAAATATGGATCGGAATGCGACAGAATGGTAAAGAACAAATGTGAAACGTTCATCAATCTAACATATTTCACTTATAGTAAAGCTTCGCCAGAGACTGGGATATGGAGAAAAAGCAGTTCTGGTATTTTTACTTTTGTGTTGCCTGATTTGTATTGGTCAATCATGTATAACGTGCATTCGATTCTTTTAAACCAACTTTAGTATTATTTGTGGTGTTTTGAATTCAAAGAGAGATGACGCGTCCATCCAAGGTTTCAAGAAATGAACGGATTCCAAGCCTACCTGAAAAACAGTAAATAGCTATATGTATATAAGTATATAAAAATTCTAGTTTGTATACGTGGGAATCAGATGATAATGTATATCCTTAATTGTGTCCAATATACATTAAGTTCGTTGGTTTTTAATTTTTCGCATGTTGATTTCGGAATGTTTTTACGTACATACTACCCATCTTAGTCTTTTCATCGCTATCTATCTACCTATTTATCTTAGTCTGTTTATATCTACCATAGTTTGTTTTTTTATATTTATCTATCTTATCGAGAAATCTTATTAAACAAAAATGCACTCTCAAAATTTCTCGAATACTCAGGCCAGCAGATGAAATCAAATAAACGGAGCATCAACTTAAATATATGTATTCACTTAAGATAACGTTTAAAGTGATAAAAACATGTCGGGTTAATAAATAAAAATACATTGTTTTGAAATTATTTACGTTTCGGGGACAAAACTGAGTAGTTATGAATATTCGGGAATCTAAAAAAACGAGAAAGATATGCTTAAAGGTTATATAGAACTTTGCTTAATCCCTACACTCTTCGGAACCGAGTTGGTTAAAGCAAATCGAATCTAAGGACGGTTTCTCCTGTAAAGAGGGATGCAGTTTCATATCCTACCGGAGTGCATATATATATATATATATATATATATATATATGTGTGTGTGTGTGTGTGTGTGTGTGTATGTTTATAAAGAGATTAGGACCGCTACTAGAGTTTCACGTGTGTGTGTGTGGAGAGAGGGGGGGGCATATTTTTATATATAGGATTAATGCAAATATAAAATTTGTCACTTAGCTGATTGAAATTTAAAAGAATTTGTTAAATTCCATTGCCATTTATCTATCTATCTATCTTATATATCTGTATCTACCTGTTTTCATCTATCTCATATCTATCTGATTCTTTTTATCTATCTTTGTTCATATCTGTCTTTCTAATGTTTTTATCTATCTATCTATCTATCTATCTATCTATCTATCTATCATGTTTTTATCTTAGTCTGCTTATATCTATCTATCTATCTATCTATCTATCTCATTGTATGCTTATTTGTCTATTCATAAGAAAAATTCCTTCGCATTTCCATTCCTTTCGTGTTTATGTCGTGTTTTATTGTTATCTTCAAAAACCCTTCACTGCCATCCATTGTAATCATTCATTTAATCATTTAAGATTTCGATTTTTATTTTTTCATAATAAATAAACATAGATAATCTTAATGGGTCTTTTGACTTTAACCCATAAGTGACGAAATATATTCGTATATCAAAGTGCGGGTGACCCAACGGTTAACGTTACGACGAATGGAATCGGCCAACAGAAAACAAAGTTCAAGCTCCAACTGAGACAATTCGTGCTTGCTCTTCATTAATGGTAATGATAACTGCAATATTTACCGTTTCCTTATAAGGAAACATTCGGCATTCATTTACCGAGAAGTCAGTACTACTCTCAGTTGAAATTTATAAAATCTTTCACTTAAAATAATTTTGAGAAAGGCATGAATCTACTTCCTTCTCCATCTATGGATTTAGTAGGACAGCTGGAATCCTTTAAACTTATCAGCCAATCCATGTTGGACGTACATTAAAAGATCAGGTCAAAGGTCGTTCTTATCTAGTGCAATCTATCGCTTGTTACTTTGTGAGGAGTTGGGTAACACCAAGTGACCCTATTACCTTGAGAAATGCCATGAAAGGGAATTAATTGGCTTGGCTCATGGATGATCTAATGGGTCAAGGGAAATGTTATTGTCCAGTTTCCATCGATTTCTTTTTGATGCATTTTACAAGTGCACTTAACTGAGTACAATGTATAATTTGTAGGAATAATCCAACAAGGATGTCTTTGTTGGCTTCCGTATTCAACACTAATTCTTTTCAAATGTTTCTTCACTTTCATCTCTTGACTTTCTTTATTCATAAAAAAGATAGAACAAGACAGAATTATGTTCATATTTCCCACTCGGTTTTCCCTATATTTTTTTTTTTTTTTACTTTTTTGTAGCAAACCATATTACTTTATCTAGCAGCGACCAACATCGCTGTACGCATGCGAACCGTTTTTACTAAGAATGATTTCTAATAAATAAAAATGAAATAAATGAATCTGAATAACGGTCAGAAAAGTTCCTTTTGATTTTTTCTTGAAAAAAATTGATTTTCTTGTTTTATTCCAACATAGAATAAACCAATAAAAAAAAACTAGTAAGGTTATAAAGTTGTACGAGAAAGGAGGACCCTTACTCGGTGTGAAATAGAATAAAAAGAATTTATTTAAATTGGGTGTTAAAAAATGGTGTGATTTTCTCTGTATGTCCTACCACTGTTGGCTTATTACGTCTGTCTTCTTCGTCGTTTACATAGCAACCTCTCCCGTGTGCTAAATAACAACTGGCCTGGGCAGATACGTCTTTCTTCAGGGTGGAATAAAATAGCAACTGCCATTTATCATACTATATAAAGTGACGTCACTCACCAGCCGTCACGGGAACCGCGTGACTTCATCCTAACATAAGAGAGAAAAATCGTCATTTGCATTAGCTAAAACCCTAAATTCCAAGTTTAATGGAACTTACACTCGGATGCTGATGACTATACTCAATATTTCTTGGAGATAAGATCCAACTAAATCACAGCTCTATGGAACCATCACTGATATTTCTACAATCTTACGCGAACGCAGAATGCGATTTGAAGGACACTGCTGGTGAAAAAATCAAGAACTCGCTAGTGGCCTACTGCTCTGCTATGGAGCAAGACTTACATTGACCAGTTGTTCTGACACAAAATGACAACCTATTGACCTTCCGACCTTGATGCAGGACTGTGATGGTTGGCGTGATAGACTCTTGAATGTCCGAGTTAAATCGACCGAATATATCCCTACAACGATCATAAAGGCTTGCTCAAAATATTTTTTGAACGCCTAATGAAAATTAAGCCGGGTACAATGTTTACATTGAAATTAGAACTTTCGATAGATAAAATATATATAAAAAAAATGTTTTTAAAGAGACAGAGTGAAAGTTTTCTCGAAGTTGTGAAAACTTGACCTGTCAGCAGTTGAGGTCAAACGAAGCAGACGCAAAGAATGTTGTGGTTGAGGAAGGTCGAAAGAGGCGTTTTTTTTTTTTTGTAGAAACGATGTGGCGAAAGCTTGGATCGTGTCTCCTTGAGCTGGATTCAGAACAAATTGTTAGTTTTTGGTTGTGACTCTCCCCCGGACGACGCCGAATGAACTGTAATCATCACCAACCAGCCAGCCAGTCAGCCAGCCAGTCAGCCAGCGACTTTGTTTATATAGTGCTCTTCAGGATCACTTAATTACCATTTTAAATTATCGATGGTTTGAATTTCTTGCCTCTGATGTGCGAAAAATCCAAAGACAGAATTTTCTTTCTCAATCCTTTTTTTTTTTTTCTAATATTCGAATTTTATAGCGATGCAAAAACAGACTCAAAACATGGTAGAAAAGGTCGTCCGGACATTTCATTGGTTATTAAAGCCTTGGCTTCTAAATAGGGGTAAAGGGCAATTGTAATTTTTTTTCGCAAATTTTTTACAGTTTCGCTTTTATTGAAAAATTAAAACCAGTTCCATTTTTATCAGGAAAAATACAAACTAAAACAGATTTCCACGGTCTGAAAATAATCATTCACATCTAATATCATTTTTTTGGATTTGTTCGTTTGAGAGATTTTTCTGGAGTGTACGTCTTCCTTTGACATTTTTGTGGAAGATTTTTAAACGTCTATAAGCACATTATGTTATATTTTGTAAATAACCTGAATATAGCTTGAAAGAACGGAGACATGTTGAAATTAACTGTCATGTTCATATTTTCCGCTCGGATGGGCACTTCGACGTGGTTTGATAGCAAGCTTGTCTCGCTAAATCAGTTACTACTGAATAGTGAGTTCGATCCGCACTGGGTGCCCCATACTTTCATCTAAGCTACGCTTAGAAAATCACCATGTTTTCCTACATTTTATCGAAAAGACAAAATTTACTAAGAGCTACAAAGGACAGGAAATTGTAGAAATCCATAATAGTCCACGTCCTGAAGTGACACGGCGCACAGAAAAAGTAGAAGAAACGGCTATTAGAAAAGGTAGTTAGATAAATATTCTCAAAACAAAACATATACTGGCTAATCAGAGAAAACACGGCAAAATTCTGGACAGAAATAAAGAAAAGGTTTCTAGCTTTATGCAATAGAGAAATTTTTTTTAAAAAATATGAATGGTAGCTTGGCAGTTATGATTAAAGAATCTGTGAAGATGGCAGAAATATTATTAACAAAATGAAATCCTTAAATTCAGTACTAGAACTGATGAAAAAAGAAGAGAAATATGTTTGTAAATACGAAGTCATAGAAAATTCGAAATACAGAGTGAAAAAATTAACAAAAAATGAGTTACAAAAAAGGATTGGAAAAAATAGAAATTAGTAAGAGAAAAAATTGTAAAGAATAGAAATTAGTAAGAGAAAAAATTGGAAAGAATAGAAATTAGTAAGAGAAAAAATTGTAAAGAATAAAAATTAGTAAGAGAAAAAATTGTAAAGAATAGAAATTAGTAAGAGAAAAAATTGTAAAGAATAGAAATTAGTAAGAGAAAAAATTGTAAAGAATAGAAATTAGTAAGAGAAAAAATTGTAAAGAATAGAAATAAGTAAGAGAAAGAAGAAATGACTAGGCAT